TAATAGTAAACGAAGCAACGGAAGATGCGTTCGAAGCCGACATGACGCACGACCTATGTCCGTGCAGCGTTGACTGGCTCTGAAGCAACTCTCGAGAAAATTCTATTCAAGTTTTACGGCTCCCCGGGCGAAATCCGTGGAAAATAATTAGCGGCCCGTGGTAATCGAACGTCCAAGTTATTGCCCGCGACCGCCACGCAACGGGGAATCGATTATTTTAGCGAATAAAACGATGAGAAATCACAATAGCGTTTACTTACGGCCGACGGTTGTTGTTTCTGAAGGCTTTCGCAATCTGTCGGTCGTACTCGGGAACTTCCGTGCCGTACGTGTTGTCAAGCCAGCGTCCGCCATGCGACTAACCTATGGTTAAGGTGGAAGCTGGCCCATCGACGATGTCGGCTATCAAATGAAAAATTTTTCTTGGCATTTTCTTATGGTTTCCGTAATGCGGGAGCGCGAAATGTTGCCGAAATGAATTTATCTTTAGGTTTATTCTTGATTCTAGCGGTGGAAACATATTAGACGGTGTTGCAGACATATCTACATGAGTTTACGAAAGTTTGTTTTATATCGGTTCGTCGAGCGTATTAAATATTTGATACTTCGAGGAATTTTTTGGGATGAATATTCGAGGCTTTCGAGCGATCGTTGTTTGTATGGTTGTATAGCGGTGGGATGTAACAAAGACTTTCAGACGGTGGTTTGAATCGCGTAGTATTGACGTTACATTAGACACAGTTGGTTATACTGGGTGTTTCTGGAGTAGGGACACACCGGAACAGCTTTGAAATTCACTCGATACACGTGAACTTTTGTTCGTTATTGGAGGAATGTATAAATAACGAATATAAATGATAGCAGAGATCTACTGAATGTCATTATGTTTTTGGGGAATATTTATAGTTGAGTTTTTTGAAAATGGAACCTTGTATAGGAATATTTGATTGTATATTTTCTTACTTTTGTATGAGGAATCTTCTCCCTTCCGGTTGAGCAGTTTCAGACACCTTGTATATTAAAGTATTCTTGTATTGTAATTTGATTAAAAATAATGGAAAGATGTGTTGGGTCACTGAGAATTCATTATAGGAAGATATTTATAGTTTTAGTATTTCTAAAGGGAAATTTATTGGGAAATTGTTGAAATTAAAAATGAAAGAAAATATTCTCTGTCGGCAATACAGATATCTGCTGACGTGCACGTACTGATATACAAAGAGACTATTGTCACACGGACGGTGTATTAGACCGTTTAGGCAACTGTCAGTTTCTAAGATTCGACACTTAAAAATAGTTCTCTTGGTTTTTAAATGTGAATTAATAAAGCAATTTTTATTTAGATATTAAGAACACTTGTGATAAAACGAATCAGGTTTGTTCTACTTCGACAATGTATTATGTCCTTTTACGTGTTCCCCGTTTTCATTAATTTTAACTGTCGAGTTCACCATTACATCCGAATCTCGGCTCGGTTGCTTATAATCGTAGAATGGTTTTAAGGAACACCACGAATTGCCATTTATCGCGTTCATTGTATAATGACAATATGACAATTGTGCCAATTCGGGTTCCCTTTGCATGACAATTATGAAAACATGTCGATATTTACACGATGTTTTAACGAACTTACGAAAGTTTGCATTTAGCAACATTATCGTTATTGACACTAGATAGAAAAGTATAAACGCAGCTTATGACACAGACTTTAGGATACATTACACAGTAAGTTAATACACAACAAAGAAATAGATGATGTTGTACTTATTTTTTTCCTGCTGTAATACGCGTATAAAGAGCATGGAAAGATGTTCGAATAGGAAATTTGCATAATTTTGGATGTTGATAATGCATACATGTAATGTATATTTTATGTGTATGCGTGTACTTTTAACGATTCTTGTATTGTCACACTTCTATTTTTTACATTTGTGAACCATTTTGAATATAATTATGTTTATTTATAGAATGGCTCACAGTTCTCAAACGTACGGGTCCACGGATCAACGGACAGATGTACCTGATGTGGGATTTAGTCCTACTGAACTTTATAGTCTCAGCGAGAATATTACTACTAACATATATACAATTAACACAAGTTGGAGAACACTGGAGCGTGCATACAAAAATATTGGAACCAATAAAGATAATCAGGGTCTAAGGGATAAGGTGTAAGTGTTATGTTGAATAACATTAAGTAATAACATTATATTGAATAATGTAACCATACCAAGTATGTCTTAATTATATTATTATATTGTATTATTACTAGGATTAATGATTTTTACATTATCCATATTTGCAGAAATACAATTAATAATTATGTATCACCTTCATTCACATTTAATTGTTATCCTATTATTATAACTGTGGTAGTGATATAATTGTGCACTTACCAGCTTTAGCAATAACATTATATTTTGAAAAATATTATCACTCTTTCCATGTATATTTCTATACTGTTCCAGGCATGTAACACAATTAAGCACAAATCAAGTAGTAACTCAAACCAGCAAAGATATTGCAAGACTGACAGTGTTGATGAGGAGGGGCGATAAACAACAGAAGTTGCAAATTGAAAAACTCACCACCGATTTTAAAGATGCTTTGCAAAGATACTCTGATATGCAGAAGGTGTGTATATATATATATATATATATATATTTTATTGTTTTTACGCGTGAAAATCAATAATCAGTTTATGCATAAAAATCATTAAATTGTTTTAGTCAATTGCGGACAAAATGAAGAGACATATTTTGCTTATGACTAATGTAGAAAATCCGGTGGAGTCGGATGAAGAGGAGCAGCGTTTGCTCCAAGTTCAAGAAGAGGAACACCGAGCGTTGCAAAGGTTCGAAAATGCACTTTCTATTACAGTCTTTTAACTACGTACATGTAGCTAAACTAATTCTCAGTTTGCGAGCAAATAATAGGGTCAGAGATGGCTGATGTTGTTAATCTCATTAGAAAAAATTCAATAGAGTTTTTTAATTAATGATTTTTGTGAGATGTACAAGTAACTTACGGATTTTATAGCATGGGTGTCCTAATTTGAATTAAAAATTTCAATGAAATGATTAAATAATTGCCATATGTATTCTTAATATAGAGAGGTTGTAAAATGCACTTGAGTGTGTATGGTAAGTCTGTCTCTATGCATGTCAGTGCCAGCTCCAACATAATAATGTTGAGTAATGAAAAACAACAAGTCCACAAATAAATTGTTTTCTATGCGATGCCTAGGAGTCTTGAATTCCGACAAGGATTACTGTTAGAGAGGGAAGATATGATAAAATGGATCGAAGGAGATATTTTGGATGTGAATCAAATAATGCGCGAACTCGCATTATTGGTGTATCAGCAAGGAGACACAATCAGTTAGTATTTTCGGTTTCATTTTATCCTTGCCAAAATTCATTCGTCATAAGTTAATATCATTCACAATACTTGATTTTGTTGGGTTATAGATACTATAGACAACCACGTAGAAAACATTCATGGAAACGTTGAGCTGGGTGCACAAGAGTTAATCAAGGGAAGTAATTACCAAAGTAAATATCGACGAAAAGTTTATATCCTGTTGTTACTCGCGATCATAGTTGTTGTTATATTAATTATTATTCTAGTCACTAAATTAAGTTAGCGCTCCTAATCGTTATAAATGTCGCGAGTAAACGGAAACGGTTGTCTCAATCTATCTTGTACCAATTTTGTAGAAATAATTACCGCGGAAACGAATAATTTCACCAGTTTGTGTATTGAACACACAACACGGGGAGAGGATAGACTTATTTTGTATTCGTTTGTAAAACGATCAATATGTAGTCCGAGCGTATTCTTGTTTACTTTTTAAACTCACGTAACACGTTTTATAGTGTTCTCATTGCATCACTCTCTCTTTCTCTCTCTCTCTTTCTCTCTCTCTAGATATACATATACATATACATATACATATATATATATATACATATATATACATATATTTTTATTATTCTCAATTTTTTTTTTTAATGA